CGGTGGCAGGAGACCCCACCTGGCCTACCTTTTTTGGGGCCTTTCCGAGGGTGTGGCGTGAGGATCTAGCGAGGTCGTCCACTATTTGTCACCCCCCTAACATAGTTAGGGAGATGGGCGTCTTATGGCATGCTCACAAAACAGTGCCTCATTCTGGGGAAACCGGCAAAGGTATCTATTGAGGGGTCTCCGTGTAACCCTAATATCCCCGGTCAGCGCTTGTGCCCCTCCACCATTACCCGGGGTGATCAGTAGGGGTTCCCAGACGGTAGGTATGACCCCGACCCATGAGGTGGCGTCGTCGGCTGAGGGAGTGGGCCCAGGGGTGCGGAGAGACGCAGGCTTGGTATCGCAGGGTATCTGTATCCGAGCGCGCAGCCGAAATCGAGCAGGCCCAGGGCAGCGGCGAAGGCGGCGAGGAACACGCGGCGTCCGCGGGGGACGCTGCGGGGATGAGCGGTCGGTGAGCGGCGTCGGCCCGGGCTGAGCGAGAGGGGCGAGAACTCTCCCCAGGCGCGCTTTATACCTTCTTCCCCGTCCCTCTCACACCCAGAGGCCGCAGGAGCGGCTGGGTCTCCTCCTGGTCCTCAGGCGTCATGTCCGCGGCCAACGCCGGCAGGTGCTGGCGTAGACATCGGCTCTTTCGGCAGAGCCGGCCAACGGGCCTGTCTGGGAGGCCCTGGGCGGCAGCGGGTGTGGGTGTGGGAGCAGCCAATGGGAACGCAAGACACGGTAGCGTCTGCGTTGGGCTCCCCCCTACAGATCAGAGCGAACCAATGGAAGCAAAGATTCGGTGCGGCGGAAGGCGCTGAAACCGCCCCTAGGACAGAGCTATCCAATGTATAGGAGGGGCGGGGTTCGTCATCCAACCGAAACGGCCAACGAGGGTGGGGGAGGGGGGGGGTTTGCACTTGTCTGGTAGTCGCCGCTCTGTCTAGCTTCAGCCAATGGGGTTGGAGCCGGACGAAGGCGGAGCACCTGGGCCCCCCCAGGACTTCCAGCCCCTCGCGGGCGGTTGCCCAGTCTTTCTACAGTCGGGTCTGCAGTTCCTCCTCCTCGTGAGCCTGGCTCTGGGCCCTGACGTGGAGAAGCCTGGCCCCTCCGCCCGGCCCTGCTCTGCCCACCGAGAGCCGCAGGGCTGGAGTTTCCAAAAGACTGTCGCGTGTCACTCTCCTCCCAGACTCAGAGCCTGGACCCGCTGGGCTCTGGGGGCGGAGGCGTGGCCCCGCGCGCACCCCACCTGCGGGTCACCAGTGGCTGCAGAGCCCGCGACTAGGACCGCCGGGTGCTGGGGACCGTGTTGGGCGGGGCCCCCAGGCCGCCTGTAGGACTGATCAGGGCGTCAGCGGTGAGCTTCGCGCTCCCTGTTAAGTTTCACCCACTTCACAGGTAACCCTGACTCTTGAATATTCATCCAAATACTTCGCATCTTGCCGGCCAGCGTGGCTCAGGGGTTGAGTCGACCTATGAACCAGGAGGTCACGGTTCAATTCCCTGTCAGGGCACATTCCCCGGGTTGCAGGCTCGGTCCCCAGTTGGGGCCATGCGGGAGGCAGCCAATCAGGGATTCTCTCCCATTAATGTTTCTGTCTCCCTCTCCATTCTTCTCTGAAATCAATAAAAATATATACACCGCTCATCTTTGGGTCCGCTGCAGATGTTGATAGCCAGCCACTCTGGGTGCCCCCCAAGTCACTGCTGCTGGAGCGAGGGGAGGAGGTCAGGGCTGGGGAGCAACAACACGGTGCCGCCGCTGGGGTGGTGCCGGTGATTCTGAAAGGAACCAGGGCTGTAAGAGGTGAAGCTTCTCATCTTTCTCTGGGCCTGTGTTATATCTCTAATGGAGATGAGATCTGTCTTCCAAGAGAGTTTGGAGCAGGGGCTGAGCAGGGGCAACGTACACATACACCAAGCACACGCGTGCGAAGCTCTCCGTGCTAGCCAGTGTGATCATGGTGCTAGCCAGTGTGATCATGGTGCTAGCCAGTGTGATCATGGTAGCTGTTTGCCCTCTGCAGTCATCTGACTGCACCATAAGGACAGGCATCTTGTGCTCGAGCTGTAAATTCTCATCACAGCATTTCTTACCGCTTTGTGGTCACCTGTTTACTGCTCTCCGGCCCCATGCACGTGGTTTTCTGCAGACAGCACCTGTGTTTGCAGTGGATGCATGACTCAGACTCCAGGGGTAAACTGCTCAGTTTACTTTGTAACTCAGCCGGTGGGGTGTGTGCAGAGGCTTTGCAGACAGGATACTCCAGTGAGTCCAGCTAGGCCAGCTCTGAGCCTACAAACCGGCTCCTGCCCCCTGGCTGGTGGTCTCCCTCCCGTGAGTGTTCAGCTCTTGACCACTAAGCAGATATTGCTGCCAGAGCAGCCTCCTGCCCCTTTATAGCGAAGCACCATCCACCTGATTAGTAGGGTCCACTTCTTGCCCTTTCTACATTCATTCGTCAGATTTGTGACTTTGGTCAAGTCATGGGGTGCCTAATACTGCCCAATTGTTTGGAAAAATGGTCTACAAAGCCCTTGGTTTTTCTATTCCAGAATGAGAAGCAAGAACCATCAGCGGAAGAAATTAACAGGAAAAAACACCCATACAAGCTCATAAAGCTCACAATTAGCTTAACATGAACATCAGCCCGGTCCAACGGACACCATCACTCAGCCTGGCTGTGTACGGTGGGCAGGGGAGAGAGCCCAGCTCTGAGACCAGAGAACTCACAGCTTCAAGCCATTGCTCCTTTCTGAGCCTGTTTCCTTATTTGAAAGCAAACAATAATAAAACCTAATTCACCAAACTTTGGGTGAGTTCGAGATACAGGATGTAGTGGACTTGTGTTCCCCCGTATGTGACAAGGGCATAACAAAACGCAAAGGAAGGACCAGCGTGCTGAACGCGGCGGAGACCACGAGAAGACACGTTCGGTTGTAAGCGCCCCACGTGCCTCTACATAGAAAGCTCCGTCTTTACTTCGTTACTAATTTACCTTCTGACTCTGGCCTCCTGCCTTCTGCTGAAGGGACCCAGGCGGCCTTCAGCTTGCATTCTCCATCGTGTTGAACCGTGTGTGTGGCAGGCAGGGAGGGGAGCAGTGTGCAAGGCCCACGAGGAGGCAGGTCATGATCAAGGTCAGATCAAGGTCATGTGACACAGCTCTCTGCACTTAACAGGGGAAGTGATTTCAAGTGTCTTTTGGTGGGTAGTGTAGACGAGAAGTGATCTACTAAAACGGACTTGTCAGACCAATGCCAGAGGTAAGTTTCCTTCTTCACACATTAAACTTTTACGATGTTAGGGACACTAGGTTCCCCCTTTAACTGTCCTGGCTGGAGGCTTACATTTCCCTGTTTCATTTGCACCCAGATTCTCTTCTCACTTGGAGGAGGGAGCAGGGGAGGGCAGATAAGTAACAAGAGGAAGGACAATCATCTGGTTCACGGGAAAGAGCAAAGCAGAGCGAGGGAGAGGAAGGCACTCGAAAATGCTAGCTTTGATAACTGTTCTCTGGTTATGATTTCAGAGTAACAATAAAACCAAACAAAATAATCCCAAGACTCTTCAGCTTCTTCCTCTACCTTACTATTTTTGTGAGACACAAGGAGAAAGGCACAGGAGCTTCTGAGACCTAACCATCAGCTTTTCTCAAGAGTCCAGGGGCAGGAACAGGGCTGGTGTCGGTGACAGGGACCTGAAGCAGTCATTGGGCCAGAGGTCAGAAAGAAAACTTATTTATAATACATTTAAGAAGCAATGGCTTTTCTTTATAAAAGAAACACATTCTAGGACATGAAAAAAATAATCTTCCCACCTAAGTATATAAAATATAAGAGAAGGCTGCCATAGAAAGAGTGAACATTTTTGATTTATTCAAAGTTTTAATCTAAAACCTCAATGAAATCTACCACCTGTATTACAAGGGGACTGATGGTTCCTGCACAGAAAGAAACCAAGGTCGAGAGAGACGGCACTGGGCACTAGAGACCGACCCGGACTGGCGAGCGGCAGAGGTTTGGTCCAATAGATGGCGGACAGGCTAGACGCCGCGCTGTCGGGAAGTGATGTCAGAACTGGTGAAAGTATAAACGTCCGTAAGAAAACGAAAGGTGGAAAACTCGACTTGGACTCTGTTTACTTCAAGTCGATGATGTCTTCATCCGAGGAAGCCGGGAGCTGGAAGGGGCTGCTGCCCCAGACGGGGCTGCCTTCTCTGTCTTCCCCAGGGTCCTGGTCGGAGCCCGTCGAGGCGCACTGCCCCTCGGGATTGGCCTCGGCGGTAGAAGGACTGTCCAAGGAGCCCGATGTGATCCTAGAAGAGAAGAGTCGCTGGGAAAGGATCGCTGCGAAGACCACTGAGGGGCCTAGTGTCTGGCAGTTCCGAGCTCCTAAGCCTGTCTCCCCCCTCCCACTGGGGGGCGCGGTGGGGACATGCAGGAGTCACCCACCCCCCAACAGAGCTTGGGGCCTGCAATCTGGCAGCCCTACCTCCTGGACTGGTGGGAGCTGCAAAGGCCAGGGTGACAGACCTCGGAGGTGCTTGTGAGGCACTCTACCTGCTTCAGTGCCCACACGATACTGTCCAGTGGCTCCCCTGACCTGAGGCTAAGGCTGAAACTCCCACCCACAGGGCCACAGGCCACAGGCCCTGCCCTGCTGACCCCTCCAGCCCTCTGTGTATCTCCATGTCTCTCTTGCTCAGCTCAGTGTCACTTCCTCAAAGAAACCTTCCTCCTACCCTCCCCCCACCAAAGTAGATCTATCCACCCCACACCCCCTCATTTATCTCTTTTTTAAATTTCCTTATGGCGACCGCAATCTCTGCATCACCTGCCACCCGGGGATGCCGTCTGTCCTAGGTTGTCCTTGTTGTCCTTCCCCACAGGCCTGCGAAGGCCCTGTCGCCCATCTCCACGTCCCCACACCCAGCTCGGTGCCAGGTGCTCCATGGAGGTGTGTTGAAGGAATTAATGGAGCATGCATGGTGTCGTGTGGAGGACAGAGAGGATCTCAGGGGACCAGCCAGTGGGATTCAACAAGCAGTCACTGGGCGGTGGCACGACGCTGCCAGCAGAGGCTGCGGCCGTTCCGCTCCCACCACAAGCACTGCAGACGTGCCTTTCCCGTCACTCCTACTGAGTGTTTTTGTTTAAAAAAAATTATGTCCATAAATATGGGGAGCAAAAATACAAACATGCCTGACTCTTAATGAGCATTTGTTGGGTTGCTAGTGGGTTGCCCATCTGTCGGGGCGCCCCCGGCAGGCTGTGTTCTCTGGGGAGCCTCCATGAGGAGCTCCCCTGCGGCTGGTCCAGGGGCCGCCCACAGCGTCAGGGCAGCAGACAGGCCTCCTGCCAGGGCTGCGACTCGAAGGGCCACCCCTGAGCAGGGGCTGCTGGGGCTGCTTTCTTTACCTGTCGCTGCTCGTTGATCTCACTGTCCCTGGCGCAGAAGCTCCGCGGCTTTCCTCGAACTGCTTCCGGGCCTTTGATTTAGGCTTCGGTGCTGCCTCTGACCTGGGGCTACCATTGTCGGAGAGGCCTGGATTGCAGGGGAGAACCAGAGGTCAGAGGTCATCGCCACAGAGCTGCCGCAGAGACAGAAAATGCCCTTCTTCTTGGT